GTGCATAAAATAAAATATACATTACAGTAGAGTTGCCATTGTCAATCCTAGTTGTCAACTTTATATCAAAATGGATAATGACTGTGGTGCACCCAAATGCATTGGGGATATCTCATCCATCCTGATGTTAAACTAGGGTGGTTTCATTTCTACTTTAACAACTCTAAGGGTAACTGCCTACCCACAACTGTCTGCAGACAATGAAAGGCAGTAGGAATTGAGACATTGTGGTTGTAAGTACTCAGCTCTGTACCTTAATTGATTTTCCATGACAGCTTACTAGTTTAACATCAGAATTTAACATTTGGGTGCTATTAACACAGGCATTATCCGTTATGACATCAAGTTGACAACTAGGACCGATAATGGCAACTCTACTGTAATTTTTGTGATATATATTCTTATCAAATGTACATTTGGTTAGTTTACTTTATTATGAGACTGGCTAAAATTGTGCAATGTTCTACAGTTTGCATTTAACTAATCTGGCATGTGAATAGAGGAGAAACTCCTCTTTATTTATTTAGTTCTTTCTTGTTTGAGATAAAAAGAACACTAAAAAGTAAACTTAAGAAGATTGAAAAGTTCCTTTCTGCATTTTTTAATTAATACATCACTTTTGATTTCATAAGATTATTTTGTGATAGATTGTTTTTTATAAACAAGTTTATTTTTGTTAGTCTTTCATTTTGGAGATGAACATAAATGTCTAAATGTGAAGCAAGGATGAAGGAAGCTGATACTCATTGCATCAGCTATGCTTTTATTGTAGTACTTCATTTTATGTATTTTATTTTATTTTTACTAGTTCATGTGTGTCAAAATACTGAAATGACATTGAGTTGGTTGAAAGATATGTTAATTATTTTTGTCAACTTTTCAGCAAGGAGTATTTAAGAATTTATGGAAGAAATTAATTAAGTAAAGAATAGATGAGCTTCTCATAAGATGAATCTTTTTCATATAATTAACTAAAGTGATAATAGTAAAAAACTAATATATGATGTAATTAACTACAGTGGTTATAGTAAAAAAAATGAATATATCTTGAAAAGATGCATCTTTTTCACAGAATTGCAGATGCTTCTATTAATTAGAATCTCTTGTGTTGAATGTCTGTTTCCAGTAAGGCTTTTGTTGTTTTTTAAGCATCCATGTTTTTAGATGTCTTTTGGATTACAACTTTATCAGTACAATTTTATAAACACAGTCTGTAGTTTCAAAAAGTAATTTACTTAAGACCACACAAAGTTCTGTAAGAACATTTTAGTGTTATTGTTTGTTTTCGTGGCAGTTGGATTAAGGCCAGATAATATTATTATTAGAAAACTTTCTTACTGGTATCTCCCATTTAGAAAGTTGAAACTTTCTTGAAACCTTTGGCTAATATACGAGTTAAAGAGGGGAAAGATAAGACTGCCAGGTTTGATGCTGTCTTCTCCAAATCCAACGTAAAGGCGAAATGGTTCAAAGGGAGGGATGAACTCTTTCTCAGCAAGAAGTATCACATGAACAGCACTGGTGATCTTCACGTTCTTGAAGTGATGGAGCCAACTGTTGAAGATGCAGGCAAATACATAATCAAGTGCCTGGATACATCTTGTTCTGCAATACTGGAAGTTGAAGGCATGTGTTTAGCTTGTTAAGTTAGAGAAATGCTTGTTTATCAAAATAAAAATGATGTGATTGAACACAAACAATGTGGTAAACAATTTTGTGAAAGACAGTTATTGTTAAATGGTTTAAACACTGTAACAATGAAGATATTGCTGATTATTTGAAATATAACCATGGCATGGAAACTTGACATCATTAAATACATTGAACATGATAATAGTGACATGGAAACTTGACATCATGAAATGCTTTGAGCTTAATAATGGTGACACAAAAGCAAAGAAGTGTTCAATGTTTGAAAAATAAAAGCAATATTCAGGGTCAAGTATTATTTTTGAATTTTATAGTATAAATCTGCTTTCTGAATGTTTAAATCAGAGTTGAAGTATAATAATAGCAACATAATGGTTAGACATACTTCTAAAACATTGAAACAGCAGTTTAAGTGTCAGATATATATAAATATATATTGTTATATTTTCTATACACATGTATGCCTTTTAAAAATGAATTGTTATTTATTCAGTTATAACTCATATGTTTAACTGTCATAAAATGGTTTATGTTGTCAATAAGATTATTTAAAAGTGATTTAAAAAGTCAAGTTTTCTACAGAGAAATGGAAACAATAATACATATATGCAGGAAAACGTTCTGAAAGTAATTTTTTGTATTCTCCAACAGATCCTGATCCAGTGTACAAGTTCACTAAGAAACTTCCAGCTAAGACAGAACAGTACACTGGTAAGGAGACTGTGCTCGAGTGTACTGTCAGCCATTATAAGGCTCCTGTCAATTGGTACAAAGATGGAAAGAAGATTGAAGTATGTAAACATAGACTTAATATAAAGCATTATTAACTTGTGTGGGCAATATAAATGTATTTTAAGTTTTGGGTTTATAAATTCTGTTTGTATTTATTTTAATACATAATAAAATGATTTAGATTGTATGTTTCTTCATTGTAATAAAGCTTTGACATTTTTGCTGTGAATATTTAGAAAACTATCATACTATCATAATAATTTTACTACCTATTTAGACATTTTAATTATACTAGCTAAGAATTTATGAAATAATCATCAATGTGGATTAAAGAAATGCAACTTGCAAAATTTTCCAGAAACTATTGATGAGCTATGTAAGTTTTTGAGTAAAATACACCAAACTAGTTTAGTGCATGTATATATATAGAAAATAAGTCATGTTTTGATTTGAATATACTTGTTTGGTGATTTTTATTAAAATCTGTTTTGATATAAATTTGTACAGTAATGTAGAAATACAATATCACCTCTTTCGTGTATTTACATTTTAATAGGCTGGAGATAAGTTTGTCATTGAAAGTGATCCACTAGGAAGAAAAATCTTGAAAATCCAAAACTCTACACCAGAAGACAGTGGTGAATATTCTTGTAAGATCAATGCTCAGGAAAAGACAACAACCAAGGCAGTTATTACAGGTGAGACAATTTGGAATGGACACAGTTATGACAGATAGGGATAATTTATACTGGAAACAGTTATTTGTAGAGACTAAAATCGTAAATTGTAATGTATGCTAAAATTGAAACAGAAAGGCTGTAATTCATTTGCATAAACCAAAATAAGCTATGAGTTTGAAGACTATGTCCACCTGTGGGATGGTAAAGTAGGTTTAGAATACACACAATAACATAGTCATCTAGAATATATCAACCTAATAACCCAAGCAAAGCCAGGTACTTTTGCTAGTATGAAATAAAATCAAAAGTACATTTTGTTTCTAGAATGACTTTAGATAGTAAAGACAATTACAATTATTTATCCTAAACATACTCAGGCTTGTAACAGTTATAAATCTTTTTACATTCAATTTTATTATTGTATTGTCTTATTGCTCTTTGAACTGTATCTAACTAGTGTAACAAAGCAAGAAATCACCCTGCAAGAGCTGATTGCAGATAATGGTAAACAAAATGTTGAATTACATCATGGAGGGCAATTTGCATGCATTTTTCACAAAGAAAATTTTTTTGTCATTTATATTTTCTTGTTTTACCTAAGAAATATCTAATTGTTATATTTTAGTTACTATTGTAACAATAAATGAAAAATATCTATAAAAACCAAGAGATTAAATATGTCTAGACTCTTGTCTTTTTGACACCAGAAAAATAATTAGACAAGTACCATAAGCCTCATTTTTTGTAGCAATTTTGGTGTTAAAAGAATAGTAATTTATCACTTAGAACACCAAATATTATCATGCACAAAAATTTGAATGGGTTAAAAATATTTTGTTATATGGTCAAGGCAAACTTCACAATAACAAACAATAAAATTGAAGTCAAATACTTCAAAACCTGTCGTTATAATGAGCTAGCTTTCTAGAAAATTCAATAAAATAGAATCTTCTCTTGCTATTGGTCATGAGTAATCCAGTAGCAAATGCCAGAGAGAATTACTGGAATTTTTTGAAGGACAAGATGATATAGGAAGGGTGTGGCATTTGGGTTGACATTTTTGTTTATATCATAGTAAAACAAGAATATTGGAGGCTATAAGTTTACATTATAGCTTAGCAATATCTATATTATAAGCGTGTAATTTGTGCCAAACTCAAAAGGTCATATGGGGTAGGAAGAGAAGTAGTAATTTATTTTATTAATTTTATTTATTTGTCTTGTCACAGTAGGTAATAAATTGTTTGTTTGATTTATTTGTCTTGTCACAATAAGTAGTCAGTTGTTTGTTTGATTTATTTGTCTTGTCACAATAAGTAGTCAGTTGTTTGTTTGATTTATTTGTCTTGTCACAATAAGTCAATTGTCAAAATAAGTAGTCAGTTGTTTGTTTGATTTATTTGTCTTGTCACAATAAATAGTCAGTTGTTTGTTTGATTTATTTGTCTTGTCACAATAAATAGTCAGTTGTTTGTTTGATTTATTTGTCTTGTCACAATAAGTAGTCAGTTGTTTGTTTGATTTATTTGTCTTGTCACAATAAGTAGTCAGTTGTTTGTTTGATTTATTTGTCTTGTCACAGTTGATGATCAGTTATAACATTTAATTTGTCTTGTCATGATTAATTGTGATTTATTTATCTGATTGGCTGTTTCTGTTTCACCTTGTTGCATATTATCAAGGTAAAAACTGAAATTACTAAAGAGTAATGATATAGGTGCATAGAAAAACAGGAGATTTGATTAGGTTATTTATTGCAAATTAATGTTAAATCTCTGAATAATTGGATTGTGAGAATGAAAAAAATAAAGAGACTAAACACAAAGTGAATTATAGTATAAACATTCTTTTTTCAATATTACACTTAACACAAACCAGAGTGTGTATTTGTTTTACTGACACGAGACAGTTGCTTTTACTGGATTCACTCTTTGAACTGCTTCAAGATCCTGTTCCAGACTGTTTAAATCTAATGTTCCTTGCTTCACAAAAAACATTTCATATTTACCCAGAGTGACTAGCATTACCCATGTGACTGGTCATTCTCATCTAAACATGGGTGAGTCTGTAACCTCAAGATATCTCCTGGATAAAAGAGGAGCAAAATTAATGTAATAGCTTCCTTGACCACATGTTCTGTGAGACTTTCAAGTATGCAGAATAAATAATGAATTCAAATTAAACATTATAATAATATAAGAAGATAGTAGTGCATGGTGCATTTATATACCACATTTTCACAGTGGACAGTAACTTGTTTGTTTGATTGATTTGTCTTATCACATTATATATTAACTTATTTCATTGATTTAACTTGTCACATTGGTGCTTGTTTGCTTACTTTGTCTAGTTACACTACATGCAGATGATGTTTTTCATTTCTTTCTCTAGTTATAGTATAAATATGCGAGTTTATTTATCACATCAAATATTACATTTTTGGAATTCTTTGTCTAGTTACAGTAGATGGAAATTTGTATTTGTTTTGTAACATTGTGTGGTTTATTGTTTCATGTATTTCTTTCTCCAGACCAGAAGTTTATCTTTGTGAAACCTTTGAAAAGCATGAAGGTCACTGAAAATGAAACTGTTACCTTGGAGTGTGAAGTAGATGAGTGGGAAGCTCCTGTTAACTGGTTCAAAGGGGATACTGAAGTCACACCTGATAAGAGGTATAATCAGTAATCTCTATCTTATTTATAGATGTAGAACAACTTTAACTCGTAATCAATTAAGTACTAGTAATAAAGAATCATAGTTCAAATTAAAGTGGATGAAGTACATATGAATTTCATTTAGTGTCTTGCATTTTTGTAAAAGATTTATTCCAGTTTTTTAAGGAATATTTGATGTATTGGTATTTGCACTGTTATTACATATTGTTAATATTTCAGTTGTTCTTCTTGTATTTCTTTTTATCAGTTTATCATATTAAGGACTATGTTAAAGGAGAAAAAAAAAATAATGTGAATTAATGTATGTTATGGTTCACATGTGTGCTTTTAGGATTGTTTTTGTAATTATTGACTGTGTGTTTAAATTGTGGTTTATTTTGAAAATAAAATATCAAGTAATAGGGTCAAAATCTACTTATGAAAACAAAAACAGAAGTCATCAATACTCTGTTAAACTGTCATGCAAAATAGAACATTTGTTTATGATAATGTGATTTAACAGTGATTTGGGTTTTTATTTAGTTTTTGTTTAAATGGGTATTTCCTGACCAGGAGCAGTTCTGTAACTAAGTATAATTCAAAACCTTAAACTGTTTTTAAGTACAATATTATAACATATTTGAAATAGCTAGTTCAAAGCAAAGAAAATACTTGGTAAATGAGTTTCTTCTTCAGCTAATTATTTATAGAAAGCATATCTAAAAAGGGCCAAAATTTTGTGTGTTAATTGTTGAAGTTAACAGGGCTGAAATTTAGTATGTATGTGTTTAAGGAAACCATTTATCCAATGAATATAGTAAAAAAAAAGACAGTTTAATTGGCAATAAGCCAATTAGTTACAACACACGTTTTATGAATGAGAGATTCCAGGTGGGTAAATTAATCATTAGAAATATTTTTGGAACTTTTTATGTTAATGTATGAATCTTGATTGTTATTGTTTATTTAAGAGTACAATGAACTTCATTAATCCAAACACATTTGTAATGAACTAATTTGTCTATAATATTGAGTCATTTGGATAGCAATTCAGTCACTTTGAATACAGTGAATATCTAATAGTATATATTATTAAATGTGAGGTTGTAGGCTAGTAAGGTTTGTCACGCAATTGGTAAACAAAAACAACCGTATATGTACAAATTGCATAACCAAAGTAGAAGTTCATTAACTTCACGTAAAACATCTTTTTGTCAAAACAATTGACTTACTTACAGAATACAAAATACGTAGTATTGGTCAAGTATACAAGAAATCACTTTCAAACAAGGATGTAATCACAGTCTGCTTTTGAACTGATTTTTTTTCTTTTGAAGCTTCTCAGCAGCTTTAAGTGAAAAATAAAAAATATCATCTTCACATAAGTCACTGTTTTTCACATAATGTGATGACATCTTTAAGGCTAAATTATGTCTTATTCAGAAGGACTAAGGGATGATTTTTGGTGTTAGATTCACTTTCAACATACATTTCATCATTAACAGATGCTTTTCTTGATGCAACATCATGCATACAAAGATAGAGAACTTGCTTCAAGTTTGCTTGCTTTGAATGTCTTTCTCTTGTTTATTGACCTAAACCTTCTGGAACATATATTAATCTTATTTTTGTTGTAGAGAATGTCAGATATGGTTGACTTGCCAAGTAGAAAATTTCTTTCTACAATGAAACACCTGCTGATGGATTCAAGGCTTACACTTGGATTTGCTTTCTTATATAAACAAACATCAAGTTTTAATGATGCTAATATTTCAACCTATCGTCATTTTCGATGTGATTTGACATGACTGTAGTATTAATCACTTTGATATTTTTCGATATCTGTTATAATTTATACATACATCCATACTGTGAAGGTTGTTTCTAGAAAAACTGCCAATGTGAGTGCAGGTATTTTGTGGTTAGTAATTATCACTTTTTTTCTGTTCTAATCGACCTCTACCTGACTCTCATGGAGTTATGTATAGATTACTAAATTGTATAGCTATAGGAAATGCATATTTGTTATGAGAAATAGCTGTTGGATTTGTAATGTAAATACACAGACTACTGATTAAATTACCCCTTGTAGAGATTTGTCTATATGCAAAATCATCCAGTTTGTGAATAATCCAATTGTCAAAGTTTGGAATAATGAATGTTCACTATACGTAGTTAAAGAAGTTAGGATGAAAATCTAAATTCAGAAATTAAGGTTTAATGTTTTGTTTTTCTTTTAGAATTGAACTTCTAGCAGAAGGAAGAAAACGACGTCTGGTTTTTAAACAAGTGAAAGTAAGTGATGAAGGCCACTACTGTTGCAAGACTAATGGTGATGAGACTACTGGTGAACTAATTGTTGAACGTAAGAATGAATTTGATTTTATAACTTTGCATGAACCATTTCAGGTTATTATAAACAACATATATCACTATACTTGTGAGAGTTTGAAAAGAAAAAGGTTATCATAGTTGATAATTTAGTCAATATTTTATACACAAAAATTTATTATTTTCAATCAGTAAAATGCTGATTTAACACTTTTTTTTTGAGTCATGATACTAATCAATTAAGCTTAACAAACTTGAATTAATTGAAAATAATAACGAGAAATTGTAATGACAATATTTCAATTACTTGGATAGTTGGAATAATTTCAAAGTGTAATAATAAGAAACACCAAATTTTGATTATTTGGTTATTTTTGTGGCACTAATCAAACTGATTAATCAAGTTAATCGACCAGCTCTACTTCTGGGTAAAAACATGAATTTGATTATAAAGTAATGTCTTATGTTGTTTTTGTACTTCTAGATAGAAACTTGCAGCAGAATTAATTTTCTTTAATTTTAAAGTTATCTGTTTTTTATATATTTGAGTATAAACTGAGAGCAAAATTAATTTTTTATCATAAATAATTTCATCTAGTTTTAATATATTTATTAGCAATGTATCAGCTTGTATTTTAGCATATTTTTTATTTTCATCTTCTAGTTTACAACTGCACATATAATTAAATCATATAACTAAATGCAAGATCATATAAACTATATTTGCAATTTTCTTTCTGTATTATTTTCCTTATTAATTAGTTGATTTTAGTTGTCTTAGTTGGTTTTAGTTGTCTTAGCTGTTAATTAGATGATTTTAGTTGTCTTAGATGTTAATTAGTTGATTTTAGTTGTCTTAGATGCTAATTAGATGATTTTAGTTGTCTTAGATGTTAATTAGTTGATTTTAGTTGTCTTAGTTGTTAATTAGATGATTTTAGTTGTCTTAGCTGTCAGTTAGTTGATTTTAGTTGTCTTAGCTTGTAATTAGATGATTTTAGTTGTCTTAGATGTTAATTAGATGATTTTAGTTGTCTTAGATGTTAATTAGTTGATTTTAGTTGTCTTAGTTGTTAATTAGATGAATTTTTCTGTTTTTATAATTGGATAATGTTTTGTTATCTTTAGTTGCAAGATAAATTATTGATTCTTACTGTTTTTAGCTGCAAATAGAATAGTCAAGAAGTTGAAGGACCAAAATGTGCTAGAGAGAGAACTGGTTGTTCTAGAAATGGAAATGTTAGATCCAAAGGCACCACTAACATGGTTCAAGGACGGAGTGCCTGTGAAGCCTACAGACAGGTAATTCTAATACTGAATTAGGTACATTTTATGGTGCAAGTTTGAAGGTAATTTAACTCTTAATTTCTGAACTGTTATATAGGATAGTATTGTTAATGTTTTAAAAAATGCCAACTTTTCATAAATTTTTCACAAGTTTATAGCTCTTGTGCAGTACCATTACATTAATTTTATTCTCAGGAACTAATAATTCGAAATGAATGTACAGTTTGTGAAAAGGTTTTAACACAAGCTAATGTAAAGCATTAAGATAGCAAAACGTAAAGGTGATATATGAATAATTGTACTGATAGGATCTGATGATGTAGTCTTAATTATTTTTAAAAATGTGTTCATCATGATCATTTTAATATTTCTTTGTATTTTGACCACTGAGAAAATAATTTAGTGTTTCTAAAAGAATTTGTTGAAGTTAACTCAGTTCTTCTTGAGTATGATTGTGTAAGTTTATGACAAGAATTTCAATTTGATAAACTTTTTTAAACTTAGCAGTAAAAATGGAACATAATAAAATATTATTTGTAGCAGGCTAAAACTGTATTATTATTATTCAACAAATATTGAGTGATGTATTCACAATCCATTAAAGGATTTCCATCAAGATGCTTAGTGATGGAAAGCATCAACTGATCATCAGCAATTGTCAGATGGAAGATGATGGAACTTATGGGTGTGAATGTAAGGACTTGAAGTCGAGCTGTAAACTAAATGTTTCAGAAGGTAAGGATTGCCGATCAGATGTTGGTTATTCTTCATTATACTGTATACTAAATATTGCAGAATATAGGGGGTATCTATAAAGTGTTTATTATTCTTTATTCATACTTTAAATATTGCAGAAGGTAGTGGTTGCCTGTAAAATGTTGTTAATTCTCAAATCAAACTAAACATTGCTGAATGTAATTATTGTCTGTAAAAAGTTGATCATTTTTCAATTAAGCTGTAAACTAAACATTGGCAGAAGGAAGTAGTTGCTTGCAAAATGCTGATTATTTTCAAATTAAATTATTAATTAAATGCTATAGTAATGTTACAGAAATGGCTTAATAAGTTGATAGAAGAACATTACTTTTTTAAGAGTTGTTTTACTGGATCTAGCTTTGTTCAGAAACTAATCATTTATTATTGTCTTATTTTAAAGTAGTTTGTGTTATTTCAAGTTATGCATAATGTAAATTCTTTTGCTTCTCTCTTTAGTGATGTATTGTAAATTAAACATTGTTTATTTTCTTTCTTTTGGAATTCATTTTCACTAATTTAGTAGGTGTGTAGTAATAATTATGTATTTAGTATTTTAAAGTGATATAAGTGAAAATAATTGTTTTAATTATATTCTCAAAATTGTAATTTGAAATTTGTGTAACTTTAATACTTTATGTTATCACTTGTATTTTTGAGAACTGTTTATTTTGCAAAATACAACTTTTATTGTTACAGCTGAAAAAGCACCAATCATCAAGCTGGAGAGCTATGATTTTATTGGAGACTCTGGCAAGCCCATGACTCTTGAAATACCATATTTAGGTACGTTTGTGTTAATATATAAAGTATGATGGTTTTATTCAATGGTGCATGTCTGCAAGATGGTGTTTGATCATGTTAATATTTCTGTCAGATATCAAACTTTTGGATGCTTTTATTATTGCTTAAAGTTTAAGTTTATTGTATTTTAAAGCTACATTTCTATAGAAGAAAAACTCTCAGTGAGGCAGAAAATATATCACAAATACACATCAACAGGTGGAAGAGTACTCAAACAATAATTTGTAGTAGTATGCACTGCTTGTATATTTAGAAATTGTTAAAGAAATCAGAAGAAGCGCAATGTTTTTTTCAAAGGAAATAGTTTAAAAATTTACTTTTACAGATTGAGCCTTTTCATTTATATATATAAAGATGAAATGTGTTTTTTGAATCCTAACTCCCCCCAAGTCTATTGGGCCAATCTCAATCAAAATGTGTATGTAAACACTATAAACTATGGGGAATGTCCTAAATGGATCAAAAGTTGAACTTAACCCTATTTCTATTTTGTAAAGCCTGTTGGTTAATTACTCCCAGCCTATTGAGTCAATCTCAAACAATCTTGTCAGGTTGACACTTTAGACAATGTTGAATTTTTTAAAGAGATTCAAGGTCAAAGTATGAAAGTTGCTGGATTATTTCCCAAACAACTATACTTTTCTCATCTTCAATGAGATGTAGGGTGTTCAAGGTGGGATCACCTCAAAATCTTTATTTGTTGGTAGATGGAAAGCAAAATGCAAATGTTGTTTGTTATAATTTTAAAATTTTGAGATAAAGTTTATGTTCAAGTTATTACTTTGAAATATATGATTACTGTTAAACTTACATTATATTAATTAAGTTTAAACAACATTCCCTGTTAGTTGACTGGCAGTTCAGCTTGTTTTTCACAAACCTATTTGTCTTAAACCTAATATTGAAAGTTTATTTTTATTTTTAGTTACTGGAACCAGAACATCAGATGTAGTAGCCAAGTACCTTAGAAATGGCCAACCTGTATCCAAAAAAGAATGTGATATAGCTGTCAAACAAGACAAGGTCCTGATCACTCTGAAAAAAGCTTTCAGAGGAACTTCTGGCAATTATGAATTCGAAATTGGCAATGAACAAGGCAAAGATGCATGCCAACTGAATATTAATGTCCTTGGTATGATTTTTTTTAAAGTTTTTGAAATTATGTTGAATAAAATATATTTATAACATCTATTTGATCATTTGGATATTTAGAAGTCTTTCAATATTTCTGTATGATAGTTGTTATGCAAATGTGTAGTCAGTGTTTCATAAAGTTTGAATACATTTTGTAACCTAGTCACCAGAGTGAAAGATAACTATGGTTCATTTAAAAAAAACAATTTCAGAATTGCACCCTCGATGCACTTGGGTTTTTTATTATAAAGCTGAAAACTGGGATTAGATTCATGTGATAAACACAGTGCAGAGAGCCAATTGCACTTAGAAATAAAATCTAACAGAAGATAAGCATTTTCAGGATCTTGATTACAATTTATTTTAATAGGGTAACAAGTTAGTTACACATGTAGCTCGACAAGTTCAAAAAAACAAAATTTATGCTTTGTTTTTATTACTGTTATAAAGTTTATTAGTATGTGTGCATATACTAGTTAGAGAGTTACTTTTTGTATCGAATTATTTTATAAATGTAAAATATAGTTGAGTTATTATTGAGTAAATTATTTTAACTGAATGCATACAGAACACAATCTTTGTTTTTCGTCTAGATGTTCCTAAACCACCAGAAGGACCCCTGAATGTATTTGATGTCTATAAAGATAGATGTAAGTTATCATGGAACCCTCCAACAGACAATGGTGGCCTACCACTTTTAAATTATGTGGTGGAACGACAAGATCTGGGTGTGAGGGGAGGCTGGACTGAAGTAGCTCGGACTGAAGAAACAAAAATTGACATAACAGATCTTAAAGCAAAGAAAGAATACAAATTTCGAATACGTGCTCATAACAAGAAAGGATTATCTGAACCTCTTAATGCAGATAAAACAACCCTTGCTAAAGATCCTTATGGTAAATTTTATTATATATTCAGTGTTTTTGGTGTTTGTTAAGTATTACTAATTCGAAACAAATTGAAGGTACCATGTTTATAATGCAGCCAAACTATATATTTATAAGACATTCTATAGTAAATAATGTGAGCTTGTATAGTAACCTGGTTCTATTTCTAACCACTTGTTTGTTTTCTAAATTGTTTGTCTTACTCAGGCACTCTTAGTGGTATGTAGCTTATTTATTTATTTTCGATCCAATAATTAATTGATTTACTTAATTGGTTATAATGTGCTTTCAGATGCTCTTCTGCATTTTACTGAATGGAAGAAATGGCTATATTATTTTAATTTGTTTATAGTAAAGTAACCAAAACATAAAAAAAAAAGCTAATGGAGTAAAACAAATAAATTAAGAGTGTAGTCACAAGTATCAATCATTTGCTATCTTAATTTCAGATGAGCCTAGTAAACCAGGAAATGTGGAGATAACTGACTGGGATAAGGACTTTGTTGATCTTAAATGGGTTCCTCCAGAAAATGATGGTGGTGCTCCTATCACTGGCTATCTCCTGGAGTACAAAGACAAGTTCTCAAATGACTGGACTAAAGCACTGGTACATCTCTCTTTTATATGTTGATTTTATATTTGAATATATATATATATATATATATATATGTGTATGTATGGAAAATTAACACAGGACTGTGTTATAAACAGCAAATCCAAACCTGTGATAAATGACATTTAAATGAGCAAAAAGAAAATCAAATAAAATTAAAGTAAAGACGCTGCATAACTTAAGAGGATCCCCAGGGTACAAGCTGTAATGTGGGATATAAAATGCAGGGCACATTTTATATCTTTTTAATTTATGCAGTATCTTTAATTTTATTTTAATTTTTTTTGTTTGGCCTTGTTTTTATTCATATAAAGTTATCATTAATTAAAAACCAAGGTGATCATTCACTTGCTTCATGAGTACAAATATATTTGAGATAATTTTTATGGATATATTTCATAATATTAGTCATTTCTTCTTATCCATGCACAAACTATATATATTGACACATTCTTAATACAGTGTGTAGCCAGTAACTGATAGAATTTGATTATTTTAGCTGCCTCTGTCTTATAGAAATTCAAATCTTATTCAAAACTGTCAGTAATGTTTTTGGTAATTTTATACTTTTGGTTCCCTAAAAAAACGAGTTTAGTAAAAAAACATTTAGATGTTTTTGTAAAAATCATTCAAAACTAAATATATATATATATTTGAAACATCTAGAAGGTAAACCTGAATAGAAAAAGAGATGAAGTAAAAATAGGATTCAGTTTTTGTTAACTAAAGACTGCATATATATACATATATATATA